CCCCCGTTTTTTTTTCCCCCCCTTTTTAAAACAAAACATTGTACATACAATTTCTGATACACTCGGAGGTTTAATGTCTGAGAGTTGCGACTCTCTCTCTGCTTACTCCCCCCAAGAGCACAGTAAGTCCAGTGTTAATTGTAGTGTTCTAGCCCAGATGTGCTTTTCTTAAAAACAAACAAACTGATGTTGTTAAGGGCTTCGCTTAAAATCATGAGAGCGAAGGAGCTGCTCATTAAAGAGCTGCTTTTTCCTTTTTAGTTGAGCCCTTTGTGCCTGGGTATTGCTGGGCTCTGCAGTGCTAGGGACAGCAGAGCTACGGAGTGGCTGTCACTCTGCCTTGGAGCCTGATTGTGAATAATCTTTAACATCACTAAAAGCACAGATATCGGCTGCCGACTATTTTTGAGTTCCTTCAACTCTTTTAAAAATACTTTCGCGTAAGAATTTCTACAAAATTTAGGAAACTCTGAAGTGAAAGTTAAAATAGAAGGAAAATGTGTACTTACCTTGCCAAGATGTAGTAAAAAGAAATTTGGTGTTTCAGATATTTAGTCCTTTAACAATAAAATTCCTTTGTACATATATTTGCTCTCAGAATGCCAGCGACCATTAACGTAAAGCAAGTGGATTTAGACAATGCTCGTATTTTTTAAGCAAATCTGTAACTGAAATTATACGTCGTTTACTCTAAACTAAAGAGAACTAAAACCACAGAGATGACACACTTCCTTTTGTAACAACTATACCATGACACGTTAGAGGGGGGGAAAAACACCAAGTTGCCCAAATTAGCTTTCAGAACAACAGGAAGTAACACAGGGGGAAAAAAAAGAGTATCCTCAGCAGACAAATATACTGTGCTCCTGAAATTTATCTCCTCGGTTATCCTGCGTTCAGGTGGCTGACCTCAGATCTCATCAGGAGCAGTATCCCCCCACTCAGCACTGTGTACGTTCTTGGGGTGTTTCTTAGCTCTTCCCGTAGCCTGTTGGTTTGCCTTGAAAGAGTTAATCTGAGGTTGAAACAGTGACATTTGAAAGTACCTTAGATGGTCACGAGCTGTGGTTGAGTTTGATTTTTAATTAATTCTTCCTAGTAGAATTTTGTCTGCTGTGCTACCTCTGGAGACTCGGTTTAGGCAGATGTGCTGTCCAGTCTCCTAAAATTCAGAGAATCGTTAAATGAGAACATAAGGGCTCTTAAACATTCAGATAATATATAAATGTTTTCTGGAAAGAGTTATTTTGAAGACAGACCCTCTGTACTGCTCAGGGGACTGGCCATTCTTAGAAACACTCCACCAGGCATTAGAGTGTGCTGCAGTATGTACCAGATGAAATGAGCTTGAGACCCTTTGAAAAAGTTGGGATGTGGATGCTTAATTAGTCTTAAGACTTCTGAAATAAATGGGTTTTTCCACACATAAAACCAGATATAATCTGAATCTCTAAGGAGGTTCAGCAGTTAGTTTGAGGGACTTTTACTTTTAAAGAAGCTCTCAGCTAAAAGATCTCTTTTCACATAATCCAGTTCTGATCCAATCGATGCACTGTTGCTCTGCAGCATGGATTTTATTTTTTCTTTTAGCTGAACAAACTTCCTGTATGTCTGGAGGTTGCATGGCTGCGGTGGGTTGCGTGGTGCTTCAGAATAAAGCTGAGTTAAATCTCAAGTCGAGCTTCATCATACTGGGCACTAAAGTTGGTTGGCGTGAGAGCCGTGACAGAACAGGCACAGATGCCTTCAGGCTGTAGCCGCCAGTCCGGTGTCGTTGCTTTGGGGCAGAGGTATTTCTAGAACCGTGTGAAAAATCAGTCAGGTTTAGTGTGGTAGTAGTCTGGTTTAGCGTAACACGCCACTCAGATCTTTGTAACGTGGATCTATAAATGCAAACCTGACAATGTCTGTCTTGTTTTCTTACAGATTCAAGACTGGCCAGATCAACGGGGACTTGCTGATCTACCACGTCCTGCTCACCCTGAAGCCATACTATGCAAAGCCATATGAAATTGTAGTGGACCTCACACACGCTGGCCCCAGTAATCGCTTTAAAACAGACTTTCTTTCTAAATGGTTTGTAGTTTTTCCAGGCTTTGCTTATGAAAATGTCTCAGCAGTTTTTATTTATAACTGTAACTCTTGGGTCAGAGAATACACCAAATACCATGAAAGGCTCTTGACAGGTTTGAAAGGAAGCAAAAGGCTTATTTTCATAGACTCTCCAGGGAAGCTGGCAGAGCACATCGAACACGACCAGCAGAAACTCCCGGCAGCTACCTTGGCTTTGGAGGAGGACTTGAAAGTATTTCACAATGCTCTCAAACTGGCTCATAAGGACACCAAAGTTTCTATCAAAGTAAGTCCTTTCAATGCTGTTTCTGGTGAACTGTTAGATTTCTACCTCTCCTGCCTTGAGGAGAAATCACAACTCATTAGGAAGTATAAAATTTCATACGTTTATCTTTATAAAATCAGAAGTGTCAGACTTGTCTCTTTGCATTGTTAACAATAGGTGCTGAACCATTTTTCTATTCTCTTTCCAAGGTTGGGTCGACAGCTGTGCAGGTGACGTCAGCAGAGCGAACACGAGTCCTGGGACAAACAGTGTTTTTAAACGATATATACTACGCCTCGGAAATTGAGGAAATATGTCTTGTGGATGAGAACCAGTTTACCTTAACCATTGCCAACCAAGGCACACCGCTCACCTTCATGCATCAGGAGTGCGAAGCCATCGTCAGGTCCATCATTCACATCCGGACACGGTGGGAGCTGTCACAGCCAGACTCCATCCCCCAGCACACTAAAATTCGCCCCAAGGATGTCCCTGGGACGCTGCTGAACATCGCGCTGCTCAACCTGGGGAGCTCAGACCCCAGTCTGCGGTACAGAGCTTTTAAATTAATGTCAACTTTGATCAGAAATGTGACTTCTTTTCCAAGGTTTCCTTAGCGTTAGCAAATCTTCCTTGAACAAAACAATTTTTCTTTCACCACAGCTCCATAAAATGTACTTTTTAGTATAAAGAAAGATTGAGTTTTCTATAGAAGAAGGGCGTACGTACTGTCAGACTAACTGAAGGCAAGTAGGAAGCTTCATTTCCCTTTATAAGGAGAAATACTTCTCCTTTGCAATACATGTTTATTTGTTACTTTTGACGTTCCTGGTGTTGAACTCTTTGGCAAGGTGGAGCTGTGGCTCTCAGAGCAGGCTCGGGGGCCTGGTCTGAGGGGGGGCTGCTCGGTGCAGGGTCCCTCCCAGCACCTCTGGGGCACGTGGAAATACTCAGGATTTCCTGCAGCTCAAAGCTGGTCTGAGAAGTCAAGTACAAAGTCCTTCGAGCGTGGTCTTTAGCCTCATCAGAAATTGTTTAAAGCAAGTGGAGGAATAATTCCTTTCATTTCTCCGAATGTTTTTGTCTCCGAATCTTAACTGGTCCAGGGAGAAAGTTGAGGATTTAAATGGAATCTCATATTTAGATAACAGTATTGATTTGATTTTCAAGATGTCAGTACTACTACTGTGATGCCTTGGTGTAATGTGTGTATTTCAAAATGTACAAGAAAACTCTTACAAGTTCACGTTGCTTGCTCTGTTACAGGTCTGCTGCCTATAACCTTCTATGTGCCTTAACCTGTACCTTTAATTTAAAGATTGAGGGCCAGTTACTGGAAACTTCAGGTCTGTGTATTCCTGCCAACAACACGCTATTTATTGTATCTATTAGTAAGACTCTTGCAGCTAACGAACCACACCTTACCTTAGAGTTCTTGGAAGAGTGTATTTCTGGATTTAGCAAATCTAGTAAGTAACGCTGGTGTATTCCTTAACACTAACCATGAATCTGAAGCTTTGGGTTGGTAGCTGTCTACCTTAGTCGGTTGAGCTTCCTCATGTTACTGAGTCACAATAAGTTTAAATTGCAAATGCTTCTTAGAGCTGTTCTGGCTGTTTTCAAGATTATCTATTTATATCTGTTTCTTAATAATCAAGTTGTATAATACTCTGGAGCCAGGCAGTTTCACAAACTGGAATGGCATCTGTTGGAACAAACCCATCACTTCTCACATTTGCATGTGCCCTTTCCTTTCTCATGGAAGTAGATTAAAAAAAAAAAAAAAAAAAAAAAAAGGCAACTGCCCTTTAAACTTGAAATTAATGTTAAAACAAGTTTTGCTAGACATCTCATTTGTGTAGAAGATTGAGTTCATTCAGAGAGATCACAGTGCAAATTACTTGTTCCACATCGCTGTTGATAGTTCTGCACGGTGAGCGCTTTGCTAGATCTCTATCAGGCTGCTGTTAATTCAGAAGTAGAGAAGATTGCAGTGCAGAACCCAAAACTCGACGTCAATCATAGTTAAGGTTTGAACTCTAGAATGTACATCTACAGAAGAGTTACAGGGTTCCTTAGTCCTACCAAAAATGGATCTGTTCCGATTGATGACATCTCTCAGTTGTACGCCCGGTTCTGTTGCGCTCCTTGTGTCAGCCCTTTTCCCAGGCATAATACAGCCCTGACTGCACTGCTGGGAGCCGGTTAGAACACGTTCTCAGGGTTAAATAGAAGTTATCTTTAGTCCTGCCTCATACTGAATGTACACGTCTCTATCACATCTCTTAGTAAGATACTAAAATGTCAGCATCTCCTTGCCAGATTCCTGCAGGTGTTTCTTGGATGTCACAATTAGAACATGTTTCTTTCTGAAGCTCCCCTGTTTGCCCAGGATTATTTGCTCAGCTCTGATAGTAATTACTTCAGACAATAAAACTGAAGGAAAAGTCTTCACAAAGAATTATTTACTTTTAAGTAGAGACCGGTGCTTGATTCTGTGTTACAAGGTGAATTTTTATTTCAGGTATTGAACTGAAACATCTCTGTCTGGAGTACATGACTCCCTGGCTGTCCAACCTGGTCCGATTCTGTAAACACAACGACGACGCGAAGCGCCAGCGAGTCACCGCCATTCTTGATAAGCTTATCACAATGACAATAAATGAAAAACAGATGTATCCTTCCATCCAAGCTAAGATATGGGGAAGTCTTGGACAGGTACAAAAAGAGCTCTTCTTTTTTGGTTTGCACTTTCGAAACAGACACATGTTGATTGCAATTCGATAGAATATTTATCCTACTGTTGATCATTAGCTTACTTATGCAGCCAAGTTCTGTCCTCGTCCTCCCTGCAAGGTAAAGAAGATGAAAAAAATAAAGCTGACGCCACATATGCCCTTCATGAAGGAGGTGTCTAGACAGACGAGACCAGCTTTACCAGGCTTGCTCGCAAGCTTTCTCATTCTCGTACTATTTTTATTTTTTTTAACTCTCATCCAAACTGATGCAGCCCAGCATCACAAAGCTCTTGGGGAATGTGGGAGAACTGTCAGATGGATGCATGAGTGCATTTTCTCGCTTGGTCCAATTGGCAAAAAAAAACCAAACCAAAAAAAAAAAAAAACCACCAAAAAACAGACCCCAACCACTAATGTATTCTGAAAGTTTCTGTCACATTGAGAGCAATATGACTGTTACGGCCGGTATGAAGGTCTGTTAACAGGTAAATAGGGAGAAACACAAAATTAAAAGATTAAGTATTCCACAGCTCTTGGTGGAAATTTATCACTGACTTACCTGACCCAAAATTGCAACCAGTTGCCATAATGTAATGAACCATTACTGAAGTAGCATTAATTTTAGCCTGCATGTTACATTTAGAGTTCTCTCTGCACTTGGACAGATTTGATTCTTACCTGCATTTATTAATTGGGGGGGGTGTGTGGTGTGTGTGTGTGTTGGGTTTTTTTAACATGAGAAGAAACTTGTACTGGTAGTCTTACTCACACATGGCTAGTGCTCTAAGCAGAATCTCTGACAGATCAGATCTTGCTTATTTTCTTGGAAGTATGTTTTTCCCTCCACTTCAAATCCAGTTTCTTCTTATTAGGTTCAGCATTTTATGCGTAGTTATACTTTAAAATGGAAAATAAAATAAAAATAACACAAACTAAACAGTAGTTTCTCCACAGTTCTGAAGAGCTTTGATCTGGAGTAAAACCTGATGGAATTCAGCATTACACTTCTGTAACTTACATTAGGCTTTTTTGCAAGAGCGTAAGAAACAACTAAAACTGATGTTCAATTTATGTTAGTTAGGCATCTTCAACTAAAAAAAAAAAAAAAAAGATTGCTGATATAAAAGGCAGTTTGCCGTGGAAAAATAAAGTTATCCTGACAGATAAAAAAGGAATTTTTTTTTCTCTAACAGATAACAGATCTCCTCGATGTAGTGCTGGACAGTTTCATCAAAACTAGTGCCACAGGGGGCTTGGGCTCCATCAAAGCTGAGGTTATGGCAGACACAGCTGTAGCACTTGCTTCTGGAAATGTAAAATTGGTTTCAAGCAAAGTGAGTTCCCTCTTTGCCTTAATTTCCTTTTATATAATAATTTCCACTTGTGTAATAAAGTGACACGGAGATGCTTTCTGATAACTCAGTACATGTAATAATGAAAAAAACATGATAAAACAGGTTTTGAGCTAGACTAATTCCAGTGTTAACTGTAATGTGTTTTACTGACATTTCAAGCTGTGCCCTTCATTTGAGTAAAACAAAACGGTTGCTCTCTTTTCAGGTGATTGGAAGGATGTGTAAAATAATCGACAAGACTTGCCTGTCTCCAACTCCTACGCTGGAACAGCACCTGATGTGGGACGACATCGCAATTCTGGCGCGTTACATGCTGATGCTCTCCTTTAACAATTCTCTGGATGTGGCAGCACATCTGCCCTACCTCTTCCACGTGGTCACTTTATTGGTGGCCACTGGTCCCCTTTCTCTCAGAGCTTCCACTCATGGTCTCGTCATCAACATCATTCATTCTCTTTGCACTTGTTCACAGCTTCACTTTAGTGGTAAGTTTTTTCCAGATTAAGCTGATGGCTCCTTAGGCTGTGTGAGAAGTATCTGAGTTGCCTTTCTCTCTCTGAGCTGTTCGGAGTGTTTGAAAATACTGTGTTGTAATTCATCTTGCAGTCAGAATGAGGATGTGGTCTACAACAGATGAGTATGGAATTGAAAAATGACTGTCTGGTTTAGAGCAGGTGCATAATGTAGATTGTTTGTGTAATAGGTTTTAGAAAAAGAGAAGAAAGTACCAGTAAGGTCCTGCGTGCAGAGAAAGGAGAAAAAACGTCTGTGCTAAAACTGGCTGATGTGCATCTCTTGAATGGTTACATAACGTGGTAACAAAAATACCAATTACATAAGGGAATTGTGAAACTATACTGTTCAACCAGGTATTTTGCATACTGCTGTACTTTGGCAGGTCTAAAATAATTGGTATTAGCAAATACGTAGCTGTCACTTCTTACCACAGAAGTACAGTATGAAATCAGGCTAGATTGTGTGCAGAAAAAAAGACAAGTTTATGTAATCTTGTCTCTTTTTTTTTTTAAGTATCTGAAAGCTCCTTTTCTATCTCTGTATATCGACAGAGTGAGCGTGCGAATGCACGTGCACACGCGCGGCTGCGCGTACAGCAAAGCTTTGCTGTGATGCAGGGAGAGGCAAACCTTCCCGCTTAAACAAGGGATGTGAGGTTCACTGAAGGGAACTGGAAGATCGGAATTGTAGAAACGCTCCGTGCTAGCAGCAGGGCCATCGTTTTCTTCTGGTCCAAGTGGCTTCCTTCATTTCAGTGCCAGAGCCAAGAGCAGGATTCGACAGCACTTTGAACTGACAGTACTGTTGGTATTTCAGAGCAGGAACTCTCCAGGCTTCCATCTTCTGAATCATTGTGAGGAGAAGTCTCCCCGAACCACATCTCTAAACGAGTTTCTTTCTACCCGTTTTTAGACTACGTCCTCCTGGTGACTGGTTGGAACCGCCTGTGCAGCAGAGCAGGGCTGTGGCGAGCTCGGGGCGGAGGGGGGTGACAGACCAGGGGGCGATCCGCCTTTGCGTTCGGAGCGGGGGGGTGAGCCCCAGAGCATTGAAAATACAGATTGAATTTCAGTGGTTTAAATCTAATATGTAAACATTTATTCAACAGAGGAGACCAAGCAAGTTTTAAGGCTGAGCTTGACTGAGTTCTCTCTGCCCAAGTTTTATTTGCTGTTTGGGATCAGCAAGGTGAAGTCAGCCGCGGTCATAGCGTTCCGATCCAGCTATCGAGACAGGTCCTTTTCACCTGGCTCCTATGAAAGGGAGACTTTTGCACTGACTTCCTTGGAAACTGTTACTGAAGCTTTGCTGGAGATCATGGAGGTATGTGGTTCCAGACTAAAGAATGGTCCCTGAGGGAAAATGGCACCACTTAGGCTTTCTGCAGGGAAGGGGTGTAGTGAGATGGGCCTCCCCTGATGTGGTGCTAAACAGGGAAGTAGCTGACTCTGAGAACTGAACTAACTGCCTGTTGGGAATTTTAAAAACGCTTCTTCTTACTGTTCCGTGTATTCAAACAGTTTAATTCTTTTCAGGCTTGTATGAGGGATATCCCAACGTGCAAGTGGCTGGACCAGTGGACTGAACTAGCTCAAAAGTACGTCGTAGATCTCAGAGCACACCCCCTGCCTCTGTAGTACACCTGGAATTCTCAGCTTTTCAGTGTACAGCCTGTTTGCTGCCTGTTTGGTTAATGTAGTGTACTCTGTTTCTTACAGGTTTGCATTCCAGTATAACCCCTCCCTGCAGCCGAGAGCACTTGTTGTCTTCGGCTGCATAAGTAAACGCGTGTCTCATGGACAAATCAAACAAATCATCCGAATTCTTAGCAAGGTATATGGCTCTACGTCTGTTTCCCTTTGTGACTCATCAAATAGCTAGTTTAGCTATTTTTAGCTTTATCTTCCCATCAAATATAGAACTCAGCATATAATTTGAGGATAAATATTTTTTTTAAGCATATTCTTATATAGAATTAACTGGCTGGAAATACAACTTTCGTAGGCCAAACTTTTTATTTTAAATTGATTTAGTGGCAGTAAGTTTCATCACTGCTGTGACTTTGAGAGTAAGAATAGTTTTCAGTGTTGAGTTTAAGATTTAAGACACCGAAGTTGATTCAGAAGTCAGTATTTAAATAAATGAAGCATTTTCTGTTAAAGGCATCCAGCTGCATATGATTCTCAACTTCTCTTTTTTTAAAGGAAGTTAATAATCTCGCGTGTTATAAGTAGATGCAATAAAGAGCAGGACATTCCTTCAAGAAAATTGAAACAGACTGCCTGGCTTGGTGGTGATGTTCCATGTTTTCTGAAGAAGGTTGTGCTCTGTAGCGAGTAAACGGTGTGCTAAATACATTTTCTTTAAGCATTTTATTAGAGTTTTGTGGACATAACCTTTTAACTGAACAGCATCTGGATTGTACAAGAGCTGTTTGCTGATTCTTGCACCCTGTCCTATACTCTTACTTTTTCGATACACGTGCAACTGCTTTCAGCAACACGTATATCGCTTCGGGGTAAATCTTCATTTGTAAAAGTCCTTGAGAACTGGTGTAAAAGGAGCTCAAGCTCTGTAAGCTGAAACAATTATTGTTTAGAGCTTTGATCTTCTTGTATCAAAGCAAAATCTAATTATGGTTGTGTTTTTAATTACTCCTTTTTTTTTTTTTCCCTACAAAAAGGGACTTGAGAGCTGTTTAAAAGGCCCTGATAATTACAACAGCCAAGTTCTAATAGAAGCTACAGTTATAGCACTCACCAAGCTGCAGCCCCTCCTTAATAAGGTAAAGAACTGGATTGTTAGAGTAAACAGAGAACATAATTTGTGAATGAAAATTGCAATTATGGGTATAATCTGAAGAATATAAGTAAGTGTAGTGGTAGCTGAAGTGCCCGCTTCACTGCTCCGACTCGTGCTCAGAAGTCCTACATGTGGGAGATGTCAGGCGTTGGTGAGCGGGACCCTGTGGAGGCTTCAGCGATGCTTTCGGGTGGGCTGTTCGCTGCTGCCGCCTGCGCAGCGTGGGCAGAGGCCACGCCACGGCCTGTCTCCAGTCTCTCCAAAGGATTTTCAGTCTTGGCTTTCACGTGTGTGCTAACATACGCCTTGCGGGTCACGGCTTGTCATAAATGTTAGTCGTATCTGGTTTGCTATTAATTTCGCCATCTGTATGCTACTTCCAAGTTCATTATTTGGAGAACATGCCAGTTGGTGTGCCAGTGATGAAGAGCATCAAGTATCTGCTGTTAGTGAATAAAAATCTGCAGCTTGAGACGCCCAGGATTTGTTAAATGCCGGTTCCTCCTGCATGCTTTTTTGTTTGGGAGAAGGAGTTACCTGCCCAGTTAGATGTGCAGAACCCGTTTTCTGTTGAGTCGTGTGGGGCAACATGCGTGAGCAAGGGGAGGAATACAAGAGAGGAGGGATGCCGTGGGGGGGGGGAAGGCTTGAATGACTTCTACTATTCACCTGCTACGTGCATGAAGACCCCAGGTTCAGGTGACCGTCTGTTCCGTTGGACTGGGTGTGCCTGAGGAGGGGGCCTGCTGCGGGGAGGGAGCGACGCGTGTACGGAGCCACGCGCCAGACCCGTTTGTCTTCCGTTCCCAGGAGCTGACTCGGAATGAAATCCTGGCTTTTTCTCCTTCCTTGTAGGACTCCCCCATGCACAAGGCTCTCTTCTGGGTAGCGATGGCGGTCCTGCAGCTGGACGAAGTGAACTTGTACTCTGCAGGCACAGCACTGCTGGAGCAGAACCTGCACACCTTGGATAGCCTCCGGGTGTTCAACGATAAGGTGAGCGGTTAGCAGTCAGCTCTGACGAGCCCTCGCTTTGTGTGAGCACTTCGATCTGTTAAAAGGGAAAAGAAGAATTTCTTGTCGACACCAGGTAAGCAACTGAAACTGAAATTTGCATTAGAAATTGTTCCGCTTGAGTAAAACCAACAGTAAAACGTAAGATGTGGAGATGAAGCTTTTGGTATTCTGTTCTAACTGGAACAGAAATGGATCGATGTGTTCTGTTCAAGGGTGTGTTTGGTGTTTGAATGTAAGCTCTTAAAATTACCGTTTCATCACTTCTTAATAAAAAAAAACTTGAGGTGTCATGAGTAACTTCTGATGAGGTACTCTTGTATTTTATTTCTCTGGGTCAGAGCCCAGAAGAGGTGTTCATGGAGATCAGGAGACCACTCGAATGGCACTGCAAGCAGATGGATCATTTTGTGGGGCTCAATTTCAACTCCAACTTCAACTTTGCACTAGTGGGACACCTCCTGAAAGGTGAGGACACGTACTGCCGGTCACTGCACGTGCACACTCGCAATTCTGAAATAAAAACAAGTCCAAGGAGAAACGGGGGAAAAGTGGGTGGTGGATTTTAAGCAGCTTGGATTGCAGAACGGATAGAACGAAATGTTCTCTGACTAAAGGGCTTTGCCAGGTTTCCTTTACGCATGTCTTCTGAAAGTCTTTAGTGCTAGTGATGTGAATTCTTAACTGTCACAGGACATGTGGCTTCATTTGCTGCGGTTCTTTACTTCTTCCTCCAGGAATGCTGTCTTTGTGTGTTTGCCTGTGTTCAGGCTCACTGTTTCTTTTAGAAGACTGATTTGTGAGACAACAGGTATAATATATGCACAGACATTTGAATTGTGTGATTTAGGGGGGAGGGACAGAAAGAACTAGTCTTGAATGTGCAGTGTCTGTTAGCGCTGTGCTTCCTTGCCCTTTATGAAGTGTCCTGAGGACATACTGAAAGATATTTATAAATATTTTCAAAATATTAATGCCTCATAAATACGCATTCAAAAATTAAAGATAGCATTTGGTCTCCTAACCTCATTTCTTAGGGTACAGGCATCCTTCTCCTACCACTGTAGCCAGAACAGTGAGGATTTTACATACACTACTCGCTCTGGTTAACAAACACAGGAACTGTGACAAGTTCGAGGTGAACACCCAGAGTGTGGCTTACCTAGCAGGTAAAATTAAACAAACTAACTTTCTTTTAAATCTGTGCTGACTGAAAAGGAATGGAATATTGCGGGAATTCTTGTGGGTTTAGGTTGGTAATATTGTACCAGAGTGAAGGAAGCTCTAACTGGAGATGGACAAGAGTCGGGGCGAGGCTGGGGCGCGTCACTGGAGGCTTTTTGGGGACTGAAGGGACCTGCCGTGCGGCTTGGAAAAGACTTCAAGGAGCCTGAAGGTTTCTTGGTTCAAATACTGAAGTGTGGGCCTTAGAACATTCACATTTCTAGTGGTCTAGAAATGGAAATTGTGACCACGTGAGGGCAGATGTTTAAACTGTGTAATTGTAACTGGATGGGGAATATAATTCTTCTAAATAACCTACTTCTAATCCGTACGTTTCAGTAAGGTGTAATTACATCTCCGTGGTGGTCTTTGCACTAAGTAAACAATTTAAATTGATGGAATATTGCTTACATTCTTCAGTGTATTCCTGCTGTGGAAAACTTATGTTAGCTTTCTTTGAATTTTTAGCTTTGCTGACAGTATCGGAGGAAGTTCGAAGTCGCTGCAGCCTAAAACATAGGAAGTCTCTCTTGTTGACAGACGTTTCAATGGAAAATGTTCCTATGGATACATATCCCATACACCACAGTGACACTAGCTATAGGTTGGTTGTCTAACTTCTAGATCAGTTATCCAAATTTCAATGTCTGTTTCCTTTAGTAAGTTATCTGTGGTATATTGAAAACCGAAACCCACGTTTGCAAAGCTAAGTTCCTGTTCTGGTATTGGTTCCAGACCAGTGTGCTACTTACACTGCGATCAAGAGTCACAGAAACTTGGCTATCGCATCATATAGATTTAATTTTGAGATCTGTAAAGCTATTTCAACTGCTTTGGAGTTTGTTAAACTTTTTGCTAACCTCTTTCTGCAAGATCTAAATTCATCTCATTTATATTTTTGAAGAAAATGCTTTGCCCTTTTAAGAGCTTCAAGACACGTACTGAGTAGTCACTGGGTCCATGTCACTGGGAAATCCTGACGCCTTATAGCCTGTGTATAGGCAGCTGCGGAGATAAGCTACAGAGTCCCCTGGCGTGAGGTGGGGAGCCCCTTTCTCCCCGCAGGGAGCTCTTCACTCCTCACTGCTCGGTTTAGCATCCAGCATGGAGGAGTTCAGTGTTAAATATCTTCCACCTTGCCTCATAGGCTGATTTGCTTGTGTTCTTTCCATTGCTTTATTTTGTATCTCCAGCATTACATCCGTGTCAGAGGGTTAGTTTTCACCCGCTCAGACATTTCCGCAAGCAGAGTTATTACCGTTTCTTGATACGCGTTTTGGGGAGGTTAACCTGTTAGGAGGAATGGGTTTGATAAAGGGCGGTTTGGCGAGATGAAAAATGTATGCCTATAAATGTGCACAGTTTTAAAGATTTTCTTAATGTAATTTCTCTGCACTTTCAGGACACTAAAGGAAAATCAACCCTGGTCGTCACCCAAGGGGTCAGACAGACACCTGGCTGCCAGTTACCCGACAGTGGGACAGATAAGCCCTCGAACACGAAAGTCCATGAGTCTGGATATGGGGCAGCCTTCACAAGCCAACACTAAAAAGCTTCTAGGTTATTAAGATAACTGATTTACTAATTTGTCTACAGAACACCCCAAGTTTGCTACTGGAGAATAATTATAGTTGTATTTGTTCTGAGTTTAAGTGCTCATTCCTGATTCAGAAGAACGTGTGCAGTTCCTGTGAAGTACAGATTACAGAGCACTGCACAGTTAACGAGGACTCAGCTTTTTGATCACAGAGGGGGGGGGGGGAAGAAAAAAAGCTATTCCAGATGCTAAAGATTCACAGTGCCAGTTCTCTGCCACCAGCCCACTTTCCCCAAAACCAAGCGGCTGAACACTGTAGCTTAGCTACTAGAGCCAATACTCTGTCTTATGCTCGAAGAGATGGTCCCAAAACATTGTAGATGTTTTGCAAGCGATCTGATTTTTATCCATGGCTTCTCAGTGTGTCACGTTTACAAGCAAAGTCTTAACAGCAGCGAAACGAGACGAGTTGCTTTGCGTAACCTGGGGGTACCCTTTACAGTGCACGTGAAGAAGAGGGGTGTTTCTTTCATTACAATCCTGTTACTGCTTCCTTTTCAGTAATCACATTTTGGCATGTCTATTCGATGTGATGTGTTGACCAGGAAACCATAGCATGCCCACAGCTTACATACCTGAATAACTTGCATGCTTTCCTCATATGTATTGTGAAGCATTTTGGAAACTGTGATGGAGAGCGGCATGGTGTGATCGTATTTTCTCTGCCATCCCTGGAAATGGTGAAAATGTCCCCAGATTCCTGTCAATACGTTGTAGATAGGAGAGTAGCTTGGCCAGAAAATCAGAAGAAGTTAGAATATGGATTTAGGTTTAATGTTTTTAATTGCCTGATAAATTGTTTTTAGGTACAAGGAAAAGTTTTGACCATTTGATATCGGACACAAAGGCTCCTAAAAGGCAAGACATGGAATCTGGAATCACAACGCCTCCCAAAATGAGGAGAGTAGCCGAAAATGATTATGAAATGGGTGAGAAACAGGACTAACATTTTAAGAATAATACTGATTATAAATGCTTTGTATATTTATACAAAGGATTCTTTCTAAATTCAGTGTTCATTTGCATAGGTTACTACAAGGTAAGGGAGAAATATCTTTCCTAACAGTGGCTTCTGGAGAGCACAGTCTTCCGTATCGCTGGCAACTGAGGCTTGAATTAGAGTTGCTCAGTTTGCAGATGCAGAAAAAGGGGCAGCTATGACGTACTGCATACAGCACTGAGATGAACTCAGTCAAATTTGGCTTCTTACAAGTGGCTAAGCCCTAGCTGCAAATTTCTGCAGGAGATGGGACGTGACCTAATGCCTGGAATGCCTCTCTTCATCTTCTCCCACATCTGCTTCCTGTGCCCCCACCCCCAATTGCAATGCAAGACCAGGGTTCTTCTGCTGTGTCCGAGGGCGCTCTGCGGCCTGGCCCCGCATACGGTGCTCACACCCCTGGGCCTGTATTTCACTGAAGAGGAAATTGGGGTTCTCGTTTACCATCCGATGATACATCCCATGTAACGGTCTAGCGCTGCCACGGTTACAGCACAGCTGTTGCTTTTATACTTTATGGAAAGGCTGGTGAACTCTGAAGTTTGCGTATGACTGAACTCGTGGTGCAAGAGCTGATTCTGTTTTGGTTGGGGGTTTATTTTGCTTTGGATGAGTTGCTCTTTTTTTATCCAGCAGAAACCCAGAGAATATCACCACAGCAACACCCGCATCTTCGAAAAGTTTCTGTTTCTGAGTCAAATGTCCTCCTAGATGAAGAAGTTCTGACTGACCCAAAAATTCAAGCACTGCTGCTTACAGTTCTCGTAAGCTTTCTTTCTGTGTGTTGTCTGTTGTCTTCTGATACTCTTTTATCTCCCAAAGCCGTGTACGTGGTCCATGCAGCGTTTCTGCGTGCACGTGGGTCAGACTCACGGTGACGCGCAGGGCTGTTCGTTGTTGCCCTTCTTCCCACTTTCTAGGAATCACCTGGAAATGTATCTAAATGCTCTTGGAGAGCAAATACTGAATTTTCATTAGTCTGTGTTGTCTGGTAGAACGTGTCCGACAATTGTCCCCTTTTCCTGGCAGATTTTTATCACAAACTAATTTTGTGTAATAAAAGGATATTAATATATTATACAGAAAAAGGTTAAGAAGTGAAAATTGTTGGAATCCCATCCCGACTCAGTTCAGGAATGATTAACTGTTAGAATAGGTACAGTATGATCGTGCTTTCTTCAGAGGTACCAATACAGTTACCATTCCTGATACAGTTCAGACTCAGTTGCCCACTTTTGCCAAAAACTTATTAGCCAATTTTTTTGCCAGAATAGAAGCTATTGCCGACTGGTTTTGTTCCCCACGTACATATGATTCTGTGTCCAAAGAGGACATAAATTAATCTTTTGTAATGTTGCTTTCTGCTGTTCAGAAACCTTAAAACCCTAAACTACACCACAAGCCTGTGCCTACTCAAATGAAGCTGGAAGCTTGCTAATTCCCTCCTTTGCGTTATGACAGGCAACGCTGGTGAAGTACACTACCGATGAGTTCGACCAGCGGATTCTCTACGAGTATCTAGCAGAAGCCAGCGTTGTCTTCCCAAAGGTCTTTCCCGTTGTGTAAGTACCCAAAACTCCACTTACGACAACTCTGTGCTTGGCCCTTCCTTTAAGGGGCCTCGGGACCGGGGACAGGCGCCTGCGGGGCGGACGCTGACTCGTTTGCAGGTGACTCTCCGCCAGCTCCCCGGGACGCGCTGAGCCGAGCGCCCGCGGCGGTTGGGCTCAGCTCTTCCCCCTGTGCCGGGGAGGGGACGTTCTCAGGAGAACGGTCCCCGGGGTGGTCTCCCAGTGTGGGGGGGTCCTGCCCTGCCCCGTCCCGTCCCTCTGGGCCGGTGACCCCGCGCGGCTGCATCACCTGCCTGGTGCTGGGGAGAATCAGAGTGCCCGTCGGTGCCTTCACCGACAAGGCAGAGTCTCTTGAATACGATTTTCACCTCAGTCTTTTTGAATTAATACACCAAGTACATGTCAAAACTGATTTCAAGCATAGCTCAGGATGCTTTTTGGATATATGTATCTAGATACCTGTTAAAAGTAGTATTAGCTGGAGTCAGTATACGTAAGGGAAACCCAACTATCAGAAATCAAGATGAGTAGACTTAAACCAGACCTGAGCATGATTTAAAATTAATGTTGCCTTTTTCTGGCTTTATAAAGTAATGGTCAAAGTACACACAATTTCTGTGAGTTACTGAAACCACAATGTAATTAACTGGCATTTGTATTAAAGACCAGGCATGAGATCGGCAAGGGAGCTCAAATGAGACAGTGTTCCCACAGCTTTAAAAAGCTGCTTTGAAATTCCAGCTCTGACAGGTACACAAATCCAATGAATAATTTTTTGGTTGAAAATAATTAAAATATGTGCCATTTAAAGCGTTAGGTAAATGCTTTGGGTTGTATCGTTAGTACAGTTTTTTGAAAGCACTGTGCTCGCCAAACATACACAGGAATTGTGTTCTAAAATCTCTGACATCTTGAAAATCCCACCTTACCTGCTGTTTGCTAAAGTCAGTTGGGAACTGCAGATTTATTTAATGAAAAAAAAAATAAGCCCCTTCTCTTTTCTTCAGGCATAATTTATTGGATTCCAAGATCAATACGCTTTTATCGCTGTGCCAGGATCCAAATTTGTTGAATCCAATTCACGGGATTGTTCAAAGTGTTGTCTACCACGAAGAGTCTCCACCCCAATACCAAACTTCCTATCTACAGAGTAAATATTTTTCCATTTTTTTAAAAAAACTGCTGTATTCTAAGTTAGATTTACTCTTGAAAATGTTTCAGAATTGCAGCCCTAATGGAATAGTCGGTCAGTCTTGCGTGGCATCTCGTGTGGCATCTCCAACTTCGTATGTCCCAGTAGAAGTAAGAGTTCACATATTAAAAAAAAAAAAAAAACAAAAAACCAACAAACTAACATGAATATTCAAACTGCTTGCTGCAGTTGTGCACCAGATATTAAAAGTATTGCACCATCTCTGGGAGTAAAAAGAACTTGAAACTCAGTATTCTGTTTCCACTAAACAATTTGAAGAAACGCAGACCAGGTGTTTAGGTGTTTTAAGTGTTCGGGGCCAGGTTGGACGGGCCTTTGGGCAACCTGGGCTAGTGGAAGGTGGCCCTGTGTGTGGCAGGGGGGTGGCACTGGGTGGGCTTTGAGGTCCCTCCCAACCCAACCCAGTCTAGTCTGTGATGAATGCTGGTGGTAAACGCTGAGCTTTGAGTTAACCTGGTAAGTTAGGGGTTGATTAATTACCAGTAAATTCCATCGAGCAGTGTTTGTTTTTCAGTGCCCAAGCTCACTTCCATGTGACACTTGAACACTTACACATTTTTTTTTAACGGTCTTTAATCAAAAACTGTCCAGGAAGATCCATAAGAAACAGATGACAGTTGAGAAAAACTTAAATGTTCACATAACTTTTTAAGTTTGATGTTTATTCAAATGCTAAATTTACCTTTTAAACTATCATCAAGAATTTCTTGTGTGACGCTTCTGAGATTTTGTATTTATGTATTTCATACACAAATGGAAATGCCTTGATCCTGTTACACGTGCTTTGGACAAAATTTCGTGTTGTTTCTCCAAATCAAAATCTTTCCCTGCCACGCCTGAGCAGATCCAGGCGCTGTACTGCGGGTCCTTTCTAGTTGTTGTCTGTCAGCTGAGGACACTGGGTTTGTGGTAACGCTCAGTTTGTTGTTGTAGGTTTTGGATTTAATGGGTTATGGAGGTTTGCCGGCCCGTTTTCTAAGGTAAGAGCAGATAAGTTCATGGGAATTTTGCCTTTTGTTTTTCATAGCACATTGGTGCTCCAGGAAAGATGCAGATAAATGACAAGTCATAGATTTAATATGAGCAAGTGAGTGCTACGGGGCTCACTTCTGTAGCTAAACCAGCTTTTGAGCCTGCATCAGGTATTTTGACAGACTCAGTGAGGTCAGATTCCCAAAGGGGCAGTGTTGGGGGGTGGGTCGGTGACAGGGTGGTGGGGTGCAGGTGGCTGTGGCAGTTCACCTCAGGGGTGAAGCGCCCCCTCTTTCCTCCCCTTGTGCTTCCACACGCTACTGAAATTACACTGCGAGTGGTCTTCGCTCTGTGTGTTTGGATTAAACTGGAAAAGACCACAAATGCTGAGTACAGATACTCAATTTTTGAAGTTTTCAGGCAAAACCAGTGTGATATTAGAGTGAGTTCTGGGGACGAGCTCATACTGATGGAAAAGTAGAAGGAAAAGAACTGATTGTTTTTCTTTTCTTCCTCCCCCCCATCACCCACAGCAAACACAAATCCCAGACTATGCCGAGCTCATAGTCAAGTTCCTCGATGCCTTGATTGACACGTATTTGCCTGGAATTGATGAGGAAGCCAGTGAAGAGTCTCTGCTGACGCCCACGTCTCCGTACCCCCCCGCCGTGCAGAGCCAGCTGAGCATTACTGCCAACCTCAACCTCTCCAATTCCATGACCTCGCTTGCCACGTCCCAGCACTCCCCAGGTCAGTCCCTCTTCTGGTATTACCCAGGTAAGGGGAATGTGCTGAATTTACGGCGTTTGCAGCCGAATGCCCAGCCTCGTCGTCTCTCTGGATGCGTTTATGCATCAAACACCGGGGCGTCCTTGAGTCAGACGAGTATTAAACTGTTGACGAAGCTGTTACACTGGTATTGCAGGTGCTGGATTTTGCCCTCACAAAAGCTCTTCCGGGTTGTTACACTTGAAGGAAATGGCATTAAACGCATCAGGACCAGTGAGAGCTGCATCATCCCGTGGGCCACAGGCACTGGTGGGGCCTTGAAAATTAATAAAATACAACCGGGATATTTTGCAAGGAGAATAATACCTGCCAGGCACCCCAAGGTAGCGCTTGTTAGGAAAAACACTCCAGAACTGTGCCGAGGAGGAGTGTGTCTGGGCTGACCCAGTTTCCATTGTGACTGTCCGATCTAAGGCCAGGCAGCATCCTGCAGAGCTCCTGCTGCCCCCGAAGGGAAAAGGAGTTTGTGTGGGTACTTGTGGGCTCCCGGGGAGTTCAGACTTTGTATCGCCAGAAACATGCTGCTGGTGAAACGTGTTCAAGAAAGGAACGGTCATCGAAGGCAGGAAATGCCTAAAAACACTAAATTCCCTCGGGCGTGGGGAGAAGGGAGTTACAGGGACGTGCTGAGGTTAAATTTTGCAGCGTAGATTTTCAGGGTGAAAAATGAGAGTAAAAAATTATTCAGTGTGACAGATGAAGCGTGAGCTAGAGGAAATTAAATATGGGAAGAAAATGGAATTTATGTCAAAGAAATCTGCATGAAGACTCTTCCTGAAGTGATTTCGGATTGGTGTCTCGTATATTGAGGGAATTCTTTACTCTTCTTTGTCATAAAAATGACGCTGCGTGATATTTTTTAATGATTATTTAACCGTTGCAGTTCTGAACACTGAGGTCAGTCAGCGTTTTATTTCTGCTTTGTGTCTAACCTTGGCAGAAGGCTAGAAACCACTTCTGTTTAGGTATAATATTTACAGAGGTGGGGTTTTTTTCACTCCTGTTTTCACTGCTTTCTGCCTGCCCCGAAATAAGCTCTGCTGAGCTTCCTTAGCCCTCAGCCAGCAGCCTGCTCTCCCAGCTGGTCCGTGTGCTCCGAGATGTGCCCATGGTTCAGGGTGAGGAGCACTGCAGAGGTGGAACAGTGCTCTGCCTTTGAAAAATTTGGGAATAGCGATTTCTTCTTTTATTTCACGTAGTGAAAAGTGATTACTCACTTTTTTCCAGTATGAGAAACCAAGTTAAATTGTTTAAATTTGGGGAGATCACCTTCTTAAAAGGCTGGTGCTGTGGTCTGGAATGATATCGCAAGATGCCCGTCAGTCTAACAAGATTGTCTTTGCAGTTTCCTGCCAGTTCAAGATGATTTATTACATTAATAACATCCCAAGTGAGGAGCGAGAGCGTGAAGCTTCTTTTCCACAGTTGTTACCCCCCTCTGGTACTCCATGACCAGCACTTTTGGCCTAAGGGAGACACTCGTTGCCGTTGTCTCCTTGGTTTGTGTTTCTGCCCGAGAACAAGCGATCAAGCACCGGCCTGAAGGGGACTCCCTGGGGCCATCCTGGAATCCCAGTGGGTCTGAGTAATAAGAACAGGTAAAAGTTGAGTCCGAAGAAGTTTGAGACTGCACAACTCATCCTGTATACAGAAATATTTCTGTATAAAAACTCGTAATAGACTGCAGGTACACCTACCAGCCAAGGTCATGGAAAATGAAATTTGTCTGATAGAAACTTTCTGGTTTAATCCACAGCTAAGAATTATCTGTGATACTAGAACAGGGAGAAGGATAAAATTAAAGGGCAAAAACCAGACCTTGCTGTCAGTGTGACAGTAAGTCCATTATGGGCAGCATCTTCCCGTTTGGAATGCAGCATCAGTGGCCACCCCAGCAGTTCTTTTTGCAAGGATGAAGTGGTGATGTAGGATCAGGCCATCTACTAGTGGAAAAAGCATTTTGCTGTGTAAACACCTTCCTTACTCCTCACTTCCTTCCTCCTTTGTGAGCGAAAGGGAAGGAGTTCATCCCGCTCATCAAAAATTTCAGGTGTTCTGCAAGCAGATGGCTTTTCTCAAACGCTGGTTAAGAGCCCGTGTCCAGAGTTAGGAACTAGTGAACTCGCTCAGGATGCTCGAGAGTCTGTAATAATGCATTTATGATTCTGTGTGCATGGTTTGCTTTGAAATTAAATTTTAGAAGAGGGCCGGGAGATTCCTAATGGTTCTGCTCTTTAATCAGCCTTTGTGGGTGTTTCCAGCCAGTGTGAAAGAGCCTTAAGTGATGGCCACTTTATGAAAGCCTCGTGCTTCGTGTTTAATCTAAGGGGTGTTTTCCCCATCATCTCTTACTACTTATTAGTGTCTTGCCTATTTCCTTGAGCATTCTTGCTTCATTCTAGCAACTGGAACACAAAGACTTGGGGTTTGACTGGGGGATCTCCAGCTTTCTCCAGCTGTGGACCAGGTCACAACATGGAGCTTTTAATTTTGCTCCTTCAGCCCACATTTACTACATTGCTCCACTTCAGACTGCTCCACTTGTTTGGTGATTCAACTGGTATGCTAACCAGTGCAACTTTGCATAAAACATGCTTCGCTTTTTAAGCTGTTTAATTATATTAAAAATTTAATTGGCCTTCTGGCACTTCACACAGCTCCGCCGCTGCGCAGGTGGGTGTTGCTGCCCCTTGGCTGTGTGCACATCCACGCTGCTGAGAGCAGGGCGAGGGAGTGAGCAGTGGAAGATCTAATATCTGCCACGGTAAAAATCACTGGTGAAGGAATTGCAGAACACGAGCTGAAGGTGGGCCACGGGGTTTCTTGAAACATCAAGGCACCTGTGGGCCTAAGGAGGGATGTGGATCTGCCGTCCACTTGTGCTGATTCGAGAACTACTGAGCAAGAAAATCAAGTGTGTAGCAGTGCCGAGTTACTACTTCACCCTCAGTTAAAGGAACAGTTTCAGCCCAGTGAGTTGTTTATTATGGTTACAAATATATTGAGTTGCAGATACATGAAAAATTATTCCCTTGCATCTGGAAACAACTAGGCGAGATCACTGTTTATAAATGTTTTGTCTGTCATCATCTCTTCTCCTCTCCCTCCCCTTTCCCTTGTCATGGACATTATTCACTTACATTTTTTCTTTCATTCTGTGTCTGTGAAGCTTCTCTGCCTTGCTCTAAATCTGCAGTTTTCATGCAGCTTCCTCATCCAGGTACACTCTACTTTCATCATATTTGCACGCGATGCTGCTTGGTCTGCTTTAGGGTTGGGCTTGTGGCATGAGAAGTTGGTTACTGACCCTTCTGACACGGGAATGGCTTCAGTGGAAGTGCTGAGCTGCTCTGTTCTTGTGTGACGCTAATGACACCCGATGGTACGAATGATAGCTGGTGAGAGAGCAGGCAAAGAACCTCACAGCCCCAAGAACAAGATAAATTTGGTAATAGAGGAGTGGGCGCTCGGTATGTGAAGGGACTCTGCTGCGGAGGAACCGTTTCATGTGCGCTCACTGGAAGTTGCCTTTAACTTTGGTTACACACCACCGGCAGACAGAGACGAGTCTTTGGACTAAACTGCAGCAGAGAAGCTCGATCAAACGGGTACTCGCCACCATTTGATTTCTGCTTCTATGTGGCGAAGTAAGGAAAAGCTGCGGAGGAGGGTTTTCTGCTCACACCTCTGGGTTGCTTCCCTCTTCCCCTGGTAGTCTGTGGGTTTGGTAAGCTCAGACCCGCGCAGGGAGGGCGGGAGGAGGCAGCCTGCGGCCAGGCTCTGCGGGAGTTCTGAGATTGCCCCTCTGCGTGTGTGAGGGGGGAGCGGCCTCTTGGGTCTTGCTGCTGCCAGTGAGAAGCAGTTTCTGAAGGGAATGAGACGGGACTCTGGGAGATGTCGCTTATAGTAACGGGGTTCTGTTCTAACCTTTGCGCTCGCTGCCAGACATCCTCATTTTTGCTGCTGACTGTTCTTTTAGCCTCTTGCATAAGAACACCCTTCCTGCTCTTCGTGTACCGTAAGTGTCGAGTGTTGCTGAACACCCAGCAGAGACTCGCTTTGTTGCAGAGCTACTGTGACAGCTACGCTGAGATACTGCTACAGGAGGGATTAACTCGTAGGAGCGCCGGCAGTAACTGATGGGAACAGGTCTGCACTGAACAGGAATCCCACCTCCTGTATCTTCAGGTTGCTCTGTCCAAAGCTGTGCAGAGTAACGGCTCGTAACCCAGGGCTTTCATGTCAGCATGAAGCTGACACTAGACCAGTCCGTTTTTGAGGTTGGTTTGAGGTTACTCTTGTAGGGAACCGTAAGGGAGTTACCCAGTCCTGCAGAGAGCACCCGGAGCTGCTCCCTGGTGCATGCACGGGGTACAGAGCCTGCTGGTTTCACCCCACCCCGTACTCCAGGGGCCTCCTCCGGCCTTCGGTGGGGCTGGACCTTGTAAGGGCCCCCCCTCGCCCCTGCTCTGTGTTTCCTGTGATCCCCGGCTTAGGAAACTGTTTCTTTAGTTGTACTCATTAAAAGTGAATTGTTGATTTTTCTTTTTTTTGCTCTCAGTTTACCAGGGTTTAAACCGTTCTAATTGGTGTCTACACTTTGACACTCAACTCTTCCAGTGAATTCCCACATCAGTTCCGTTTCTGCTGAATGCAGAATGAGCCAGCGACGCCTTTCGTGCCTCCTGGCAGCGGGACCGAGTCCTCCAAACACCGATCCGTACGTTATGTCCTTTTCCTGATCTTTATTTGGGAGCCAAGATTCAGTGCTGAGGGGAATCGTAGGTACTTGATTACACATGGATCTCCTCTGGTAGCAAGAATCAGCCTCTGCTGTTGTGGCAGGACCCTGCGGGTTCAGGAACGAACCTTCCCCACGCCGCGGCTCCCCCGTTCAGTCGCAGCCCTTGATTCCTGGCTGGAAGCAGCCGCCCGTCTGGCAGCCTGTCGGCTCTTCTCCTAGAGATGCAAAAGCCAGAAGAGACTTGAGTCAGACTCTTTCCTTTGCTCAGTCTTCTCAGACCCAGAAGGGGCTTTGCGGCCCGGGAGATGTTCGTGTTTTCAGCAGGTACAAACGCGGGTATGAAAACTTTGTGGATGGAGGGGAACCCTTCGTCTGCTCTTTCCTGTATTAGATAAAATCCCTGCTTCTGTTGTAAGAGCCGACTACGTGAGCTCGGTGAAACTCGAGACCAGTTCATCTCTGCTTTCATGTTGTAGGAAAGCAGCGTAGATCAAAGCCGATCAGCCAGTGCTTACAGGCCAACGTATTTTATCTTTTATTGTTGGAGACTGGTTAAACTACCAGCAGATTCAATCTGCAACTTTGAGGAGGGAAAAATTAAAAGTATTTGAAGGAGTCGCGTTGCAGTGTGATAAGCCCTGTGCAGGGGAGCGTGTAGGTCTGTGAGCAGGCGTCGCGCTTTAGCACGTGGAGGTGTTTTATCTGGTCAGAGTCCGGGCTCTCGCTGAGCACAGGGTCCTACATCTGGCCCTGAAAAAAATTATATTTCATACTCCAGAGCTGCAGGGAAATCGCCGTGTCAGACTTGTCATTTGTGAGACATCAGCGACAGTGAAACAGTGTCCCCCTGGCTCCAGCAGTGGCGCCTGCCTGGGGCACAGCCTCTTCCCTCCACTGCTGCTGCGCGGGGCGGGGGGTCTGGGACCAGCACGGTGCTGGGGGGGCTGCGCCTGCCCCGCTCCTCCAGGGGAGCCCCGGGGAGCCCCAGCTCAGATGGGGCTGTGCCAGGAGAGGGAGGGAGCAGCGCTGGGGGCGTTCAACATCTGGGGGCCGGGTCTGCCCGCGGGGCACGCTGAGCGATTGCCTTTGCATCACTTGTTTTCTTTTGCTTTCTTTCTCCTTCCACACCTCCCTCACCTAACCAGGCTTTTTAGTTTTGGTTTGATCAGGACACCCAAGTTTTCTCGCTTTTACTCTTCTGTCCTCCCCCCCGGCCACGCTGGGGTGGAGGGGGGTGAGCGCGCGGCTGCGTGGTGCTTCCCTGCCTGCTGGGGCGAAGCTACCACAAAGAGTATTTTATTTTTTTTCGAAACCACCCCGTGACCAGGTTCCGCAGCGCTTTCCCAGGCAGGCGGCACTGCTGCTGGTGCGCGTTGCCAAACGCTGTTTGACCGAACCCCGCGTGTCAGCATGGCGGAGTTGGGCCGTGTGTGGGCCGCGCCGTCCCCTCCTTGTCCAGGCCCGTGACCCCAGCGCGGGCGGGTCCCCGCGGCTCGCCCGGACCCGCCACCCCTCGCCCACCAC